CCTCTCAGCAGTCACTCCTTTGAGTATCTTAATATACAAGTCTGTCTAACATTTTGCTGGTTTGTTTAGTGTATGTTGTGTGAAGATGAATGAAATGGATTCATGTTGCTGTGAGACATTGGCAGTGTGAATGGGGCTTGAGAGACCTCGGATGCAGTCCCTCCCACCCAATTATTTACATCACCAGCACTTAAACTGACACTAATTTAAAATAAGCAAATAGCATGTACACATAAATAGTTCTGACCTTGTCTGTAAATTGTGAATCTTAATCTTAAAACATTTCTCATAAACAGCTACATGTCTGCCTCTGTTCATGTTTGTGTAGTGTATACTATAGAATGGGTTGCATTTGTAGGTGTAATTATAGTACAATTCTTGACAATCCAACACAAGCCCTGATGATCAAAGCATGAATGAATGTACAACATTCATATGGTCAGAGTGTTAAAAGCACATATATTTCCCTAAAACCAAGACTGTAAGATTACAAGAACAGGAATTTATCTTTAAGACTGTAGATAACGGGGGAAGGGGTGACATGAATCTGTGTGAAATGGATAATAAGCATTGATCTATAGATTAATAAGGTTAAAGCAAGGGATGTACGCAATATAAATATAAATATAAAGCTTCCTTTCAACAACAGTCATGTTCAGACTTGCCCTATCATCAATAGAGGTCTGTTAATAGATTAATCCCTAGAGAATGTCATTACTCATGTTCCAACACTTTTGTCAACATCTCCAGGGCTCAACACAATACAAGTCATTGGTAACTGTAGACATAAGAGTGAGTATGGTGCAAGTAGTAGGTTCTTGCAATGTTACACTGAATGCCATTTTGCACCTATGCATCAAAGAATGAGATCTTCCTTTCTTCAGTATGCAGCTATTTTGTTTAGAGCTCTTGCCTGTGTCCTGTTGCACGAAGCAAGTTGAATAAACTTGGAGTTTTAGGGCAGGTTTAGTGTTGACAAAACCAAACAAATCCAATCCGGTCTATAATGAGATCAGTGGGCTCACATGTTCACAAATTAACTTTAGTAATTGTATGATCTAAAAGTTTATGATTAACTCTGGAACACGTGCAGCAAACAGCCAATTACATGAAACATGGAGAGAGACGGTTTCATTCACTTCTTGTTATAAAAAATATCATAAATTGAATGCATTTACAAGGTGAGAAGAAACATCATTACTGAAGGCACCTATGTATTTTACTATTATATAGTAAACATTTGTGGCAGTAATGGGATTTCTTCTCACTATATGTTATCGATTCTACCAGTACCTGATTTTTAGGCTTTTGTATTTTTAGCCAATTTTGTGTAGTGTGTGCAGTCCAATTAAATCATGAGTTTAGGAGAACACTGCTGCTGATATGACCTTCTTGTTTGTTCATCACACTGGAAATGCAAAATCAGGCGCATTGCATTGTGGGATACCTTATTCCACAGTGTGCTCTGTTAAATGGTGCACACAGCAAATGTAGTAGATTTGCCGAAACCCATCAAGGTATTCCATGTATACAGTATAAGCACAAACAGCACTGTAAGTATGGGTAGAATGCTATTCTGAACACAGCTGATGTTAAAAACATCTACTAATTTGAAACAGGTGTCAAGAAATCAATTAAAGAGGTATAATGCAGTATCATATGCAAATGTTATCAAATAAACCAGCAATAAAATAAATGGCACATTATAATATTAATCATGCCATGCAATCATTAAAAAGACCATTGTGTTGACAAGACCTTTCGATCATCAAGTTTATTTTCAAATGAATTACAGCATAAGTTTAGTAGTCCATCCAACAGTGCTGCACTTCCACACTAAACCATTGCTTATTTACATTTTAAATCCCCAAACGAACTGTTCATTATACGCTCTCATGGCATGAAAAAAAAACTGACATAATAAATGAGTTCTGAATATGGGAAATCATACAGCTAAGCACCGTGAGTTTACTCTTTTTTTTTTTTTTTTAAGTGAGTAAAAACAGCATCAGACACTTTGAGGAACAGATAAGGTTTTCACTTTTCTAAAGTACCAGGGTCACATGCTGATTGTGTTCTGTCAGGTTGCGGGAGAAAATAAGGATATCAGTATTGCTTAGAACAAAGACAAGTCTCAGAAAACCTTGTTCATTAACCCATGGGATATGGAGGGAGTGTTGACTAGCCCATATGGCATGACCTGATACTCACAGTGGCCTGCAGGTGTTACTAAGGTGGTGTTCAATTCATCTCCCTTCTGCATTCTGACAAGATTATGAGCACTGTGAAGGTTGAGTTTTTCAAAAACTATTGTTCCTCTCAGCAGTCACTCCTTTGAGTATCTTAATATACAAGTCTGTCTAACATTTTGCTGGTTTGTTTAGTGTATGTTGTGTGAAGATGAATGAAATGGATTCATGTTGCTGTGAGACATTGGCAGTGTGAATGGGGCTTGAGAGACCTCGGATGCAGTCCCTCCCACCCAATTATTTACATCACCAGCACTTAAACTGACACTAATTTAAAATAAGCAAATAGCATGTACACATAAATAGTTCTGACCTTGTCTGTAAATTGTGAATCTTAATCTTAAAACATTTCTCATAAACAGCTACATGTCTGCCTCTGTTCATGTTTGTGTAGTGTATACTATAGAATGGGTTGCATTTGTAGGTGTAATTATAGTACAATTCTTGACAATCCAACACAAGCCCTGATGATCAAAGCATGAATGAATGTACAACATTCATATGGTCAGAGTGTTAAAAGCACATATATTTCCCTAAAACCAAGACTGTAAGATTACAAGAACAGGAATTTATCTTTAAGACTGTAGATAACGGGGGAAGGGGTGACATGAATCTGTGTGAAATGGATAATAAGCATTGATCTATAGATTAATAAGGTTAAAGCAAGGGATGTACGCAATATAAATATAAATATAAAGCTTCCTTTCAACAACAGTCATGTTCAGACTTGCCCTATCATCAATAGAGGTCTGTTAATAGATTAATCCCTAGAGAATGTCATTACTCATGTTCCAACACTTTTGTCAACATCTCCAGGGCTCAACACAATACAAGTCATTGGTAACTGTAGACATAAGAGTGAGTATGGTGCAAGTAGTAGGTTCTTGCAATGTTACACTGAATGCCATTTTGCACCTATGCATCAAAGAATGAGATCTTCCTTTCTTCAGTATGCAGCTATTTTGTTTAGAGCTCTTGCCTGTGTCCTGTTGCACGAAGCAAGTTGAATAAACTTGGAGTTTTAGGGCAGGTTTAGTGTTGACAAAACCAAACAAATCCAATCCGGTCTATAATGAGATCAGTGGGCTCACATGTTCACAAATTAACTTTAGTAATTGTATGATCTAAAAGTTTATGATTAACTCTGGAACACGTGCAGCAAACAGCCAATTACATGAAACATGGAGAGAGACGGTTTCATTCACTTCTTGTTATAAAAAATATCATAAATTGAATGCATTTACAAGGTGAGAAGAAACATCATTACTGAAGGCACCTATGTATTTTACTATTATATAGTAAACATTTGTGGCAGTAATGGGATTTCTTCTCACTATATGTTATCGATTCTACCAGTACCTGATTTTTAGGCTTTTGTATTTTTAGCCAATTTTGTGTAGTGTGTGCAGTCCAATTAAATCATGAGTTTAGGAGAACACTGCTGCTGATATGACCTTCTTGTTTGTTCATCACACTGGAAATGCAAAATCAGGCGCATTGCATTGTGGGATACCTTATTCCACAGTGTGCTCTGTTAAATGGTGCACACAGCAAATGTAGTAGATTTGCCGAAACCCATCAAGGTATTCCATGTATACAGTATAAGCACAAACAGCACTGTAAGTATGGGTAGAATGCTATTCTGAACACAGCTGATGTTAAAAACATCTACTAATTTGAAACAGGTGTCAAGAAATCAATTAAAGAGGTATAATGCAGTATCATATGCAAATGTTATCAAATAAACCAGCAATAAAATAAATGGCACATTATAATATTAATCATGCCATGCAATCATTAAAAAGACCATTGTGTTGACAAGACCTTTCGATCATCAAGTTTATTTTCAAATGAATTACAGCATAAGTTTAGTAGTCCATCCAACAGTGCTGCACTTCCACACTAAACCATTGCTTATTTACATTTTAAATCCCCAAACGAACTGTTCATTATACGCACGACATAATAAATGAGTTCTGAATATGGGAAATCATACAGCTAAGCACCGTGAGTTTACTCTTTTTTTTTTTTTTTAAGTGAGTAAAAACAGCATCACAGACAGTTTTGGTTTGTTAACATACATATCCACGATGACATATGTATTAAACTTAAATAAATAGATGTGAGATTTCATGTATTTTAATGCTGCATACCTCCGCAACTGAATTAAAATGAATACGTTTGTACATTTTTTTTCGTACACTGTGCACATGAAGGCATTCTGAGTATTAAGTTACATTCGGTTACACTTTACTTGAAGGGATGTGCATAAGACTGACATGACACCTTCATAATCATGACATGACACATGTCATGAATATGAAGGAGGTTTTATGCATGTTTATGACAACTGTCATTAAGTGTCATTCGCTCAGTTATGTCATTTTTAATGCAAAGATGACATTGTTTGAGATGTATTTGTTATGGGCTATGGTTAGTGGTAAGGGTAGGGGTAGGGTTAGGTTAGGGTTAGGTCAAATAATGTCATATTTGCATTAAAAATGACATAACTGAGCGAATGACACTTAATGACAGTTGTCATAAACATGCATAAAACCTCCTTCATATTCATGACATGTGTCATGTCATGATTATGAAGGTGTCATGTCAGTCTTATGCACACCCCTTCAAGTAAAGTGTTACCTTACATTCGATTACAAAATACCAAATATGTCTCTCACAATTATTATTTGTGCCTTGAGTGTAGCTTTACCCTCCGTTCTCAATTTCTACATCCATTGTATCAAACTAGATAAAGAAAGAAAAAAAGAAATTCCATGACTGTAACCGTAATGAAGAACTGTGGCATGATGTATTAATATGACGTCACAGCACACTGGAAACAAGAAAATCAAAGAGGATGCATGTGTTCATTTAATGCTCTGATATTCAACCCCCTTCTGCCAGTCCTCCATCCAGAACTCTATCAAAACACTTAAATGATCTCCAGCTATGAATTAAAGGAGAGTTTTAACAGAAACAATGAGACATTGTGCGGCTCTTCAGTGCATGTAGCTGAATTCAATTAGCACCTGAATTTAGAAAAGCGCTAATTCTCCGATAACCCCTCAGTAAATATACATTCTCACCGACAACACTATAATGAAAGAGCACTACCTGAAATCATCATGTGCGTACAAATATGATTATTAATGACAGTGCAGAAACGTTCTTGTGCTGTCTGAATGAATTCTGAATGTCAATATATGTGTTTATCCTGCTCATTCGGACATAAACTACATCGTGTTGATCATGTATAATAGTGTGGTGTGTACTGTATGAATCTTCATGACGAGCCCTTTGACTGAAGCAGTTCTGAACTCTCTTGGCTGTCGGTCTGTCTGGTCAGAGTTCGTTGCAGGCAGAGTTCTCTGTTGTTTTAAACATTAGAATAGAGTTATATATCTTTAGAGCCGGCCCTAGTTTAATGCTGAGGATCTTCACCAGGTCCACCTGAGTCAATAACAGGAAGGCCTCGCCATCAATTTGCTGAAATCAAACAACAATAAATGAGCTGATAAACATACACAGCTGTCAGAGAAGAAGATGCATAGCCCGTGCAATTCAGTGTAATTTCAAGGTGTTTAGCTCTACAACAAAATGTCCTAAACTAATGTTTGCTGAAATTCATGCAATAGAACAAACATCTAATTTCTGTTCGCAAACAGACATTTGGTATTGTATGAAATTTAGTGATTATACATCACTGTGTAGTTATTTTTACTGGAAATTGGTGCTTCATCTGATTATTTAGGTCTTGACAGACACAATCCAAAAGATCAGATAATTAGGGATGCACTGATATTAAAATTCTGGCTGATAAAACAAGTTGATCATTATTTTATATGTTATGGCTGATAAACAATAATTGGATAATATTAAAATGATCATTTGTGTAAATAAATTAAAATGAAAACATAAAAATGCTACAATTCAGGCACCATATAATCATTTGCAGAATGACAAATTTATACTTATTTTGAAATTTAGTCAAGTTTATATTTAAGAATTATTTAAGTTATTACTGTTTTTAAAGATGAACTTTAAGTGAAATGGCAGCAAAGGTAATCTAAAATATAATATATAATAGAATATTTCACCACAGGTTCCCTCAAGATTTTCCTCTGGGGTTTTTCTCATTTAGAAGTAAAATGAGGTCTGTGGTAAACATTTTTGGATGTTTTGATGTCAACGTAAATGACAAAAACTCAACCCCCAAACGTTCGTATGTAGGCCCAGTTACTTATTATAAACATGTTTTTAGAAATAAATATAACTGCTTCAAAATCTAAATGTGTGTTTCGGTATGGGTGTGTATAATTGATGTTGTAGAGTGAAATGTCAAAGTATCATTCATTTATATTTACCACAAATACCCATTATAAAAGCCCATTGGAAGATCTGGAGGGAACCCTTGGTGGATTAGTCTGCTGGGTTTTGACAGCAGCACAGCACTCTATGGCCATGCAGATACATGTACCGCGGTATCAACGGCACGGCAGCATCTCTAGCAGTTCACACATATCTGCCATTGCATGGGATGTACTGTACTGTTAAACTGCCAGCACAATCCTGTGTGAAAGTGAAGAGTGTGAGATAATGTGGAAATGTACTCCAGGTGCCGATGACGTTGAAACTACGCAAACAGTAGGACTCTTGTTTTAGCCTATAATTAGTAACACATTGCATCTGTTCCTTGCGATGACAAACCACATCCTCCCATTATAATAAGCACATCTGTTTACTCTGGAAGTGCCTCGTTGCACTATTTTTACACCACTAGACTTCCACTAAAAAATTAACTATGATTTCAACAAGGGATAATGTACATCCATTACACGGCTCTGTGGAATACTTGATTCTGATTGGTCAATCGCGCCATCCAGCGGTATGTTATTCAATTTGTTATCCGCTCATCCGGGTACTACGAGTTATCTTGACCGGTACTACTTATATACTTAACGAGTCACTCCGCCATCGTTGACTGTCTGGCGCCATCTTGTGACTGGAAACACTTAACCACCGCGTGTTACAATGCAAGACTTCAGCATTCATTTCAACATATATGGTAAAAACAAATCTTTTTAGCCGTGTAATAAGCGTACATCCAGCCAGTTGTTATCTCAGAATAAACCCCTTCAGGCTGATACAAGACCCCTCCGCGATCATCCTGTTGGGGTTCATTCTGAGATAACAACCGGCTGGATGTACATTATCCCTTACGTAACCCCCGACAGGGCGATCAGCACTTGTCTCACACTGAAGGGGGCTATTCTGCGATAACAACCGGCTGGATGTACAGTACTGTACATTATCCCGCTTATTAAACATCTACTTGCTACATTAATAAATAATTAGACACACAATTTTAAGTTGAAATATTTGTACGCAAAGCCTCAGTGACGAAAGCAGTTGCTAGCAAGCGGCAAGTTCAAACTAGATGGACATTTACAATTAAGGCGATAAAAGATATTGATTTAAGACGAAAATGTTTTAAAATCGTACCAGTTGGTTAGTTACATCTTATAATCCATTACAGTGTACAAAACAATCATTGCAAAATGGCAGCTGCTGCGTTTGTATGAAACGAGAGAGCGAGTCGCGATACCAGGATGACATTAAATAATTGTACACATAATATTGAATCGAGTTTTAATATTTAATTAGCTAACCAAATGCAAAGCTTCCACCAAGAAAAACTGTTCCTATCAAGAGTATAGCGCTGACTTCAGTTACCCGGATGAGCCTGTGTTATCAGCTTTTACCGGTTGTTATCGAGGGATAACAGACCTCAGAATGTCACGACTGACCAATCAGAATCAAGTATTCCACAGAGCCAGCCGTGTAATAAGGCAGGATATTTTCCAGCGTACATATTCTGACATGACGTGCAGCTTTGACACATCCAGTGTAGACAACATCCAGCTGCTGTGTCACGATGTGATGTTAGTCACTTTCAACACAGACACGGTGTTTCAAATGAAGGTAAAAGCAGTGGTTTAAAACTTAGAGGTACAGTTGAGAGGAGCAAACATATCACGAGATAGACCACTGCAATAAATCTAATGAGATCACAGCACAATGACTGAATGGAATGGGTGATTATGTGAGACAAGTGCAATCTCAGTAAATCCAAAGCTGCCGTCATCTTATAAGATCTTTTCAGATAAATGTTCTTGGGTTCAGAAGTCTAAGAGCACAAGTCTAAAGCCTGGAAATAAACACGATGTTAGAAATTTTACAGTCTGAAATCAAATAATGGTTATGCCATAAAAATTAAAGATTCTGAAAATTTCTATTTCACAAATCAAATGTCCATGTCATTTTGAGTGCTGCTGCCGTTGATTAAAAAAGGGCACATAACAAATACTAAGACATTCAGAAAATGCATGTGAGATTTTCAATTCAATTTTAAACTCAAACTGTTATGCTAATTATATATATTTTAAATGGTAAAGGTTGTATGCAATTAAAACATTTTCACAATCAGTTGTGTGTGTGTGTGTGTGTGTGTGTGTGTGTGTGTGTGGAATGGATTGGCTGCAGGTCATTTTACAGTCTGAAATCAAATAATGGTTATGCCATAAAAATTAAAGATTCTGAAAATTTCTATTTCACAAATCAAATGTCCATGTCATTTTGAGTGCTGCTGCCATTGATTAAAAAAGGGCACATAACAAATACTAAGACATTCAGAAAATGCATGTGAGATTTTCAATTCAATTTTAAACTCAAACTGTTATGCTAATTATATATATTTTAAATGGTAAAGGTTGTATGCAATTAAAACATTTTCACAATCAGTTGTGTGTGTGTGTGTGTGTGTGTGTGTGTGTGTGTGTGGAATGGATTGGCTGCAGGTTATTAAACTCATGCTAATATTGTGACTGATTTTAACCAACAGTTCAATATCTGCAGGATTTAAAAAATCTAATTTAAGACTTTTTGAGACCTTTTTAAGACCTGCACAAATAAAATTAATAGCATGTAAGTGGGGGTAGGGTAATGTCTAAAAAGCATGATTTACAGTTCTGTTACAGGTTTTCACACAAGCAAAAAGTTTTGTAAAATGATGAACTCCACATTTCAGCCTTTAAACCATTTTTGAGAGTCAAAATGATCAATTATTACATTAATTTATTATATTAATTTAATAACATATAAATATATCTTAATGTGTTCATTGTTTAGATTTTTAAAGTGCATTAGCATTAGCTTCTTGTCGATCCACCTGTTCACATTTACAATTCTGAGTGTTTGCTGCGTAAAAATATGGGTTGATTTTCACTTTGGTCTGAACAATTATATATATTTTAAATGGTAAAGGTTGTATGCAATTAAAACATTTTCACAATCAGTTGTGTGTGTGTGTGTGTGTGTGTGTGTGTGTGTGGAATGGATTGGCTGCAGGTTATTAAACTCATGCTAATATTGTGACAGTGATTTTAACCAACAGTTCAATATCTGCAGGATTTAAAAAATCTAATTTAAGACTTTTTGAGACCTTTTTAAGACCTGCACAAATACAATTAATAGCATGTAAGTGGGGGTAGGGTAATGTCTAAAAAGCATGATTTACAGTTCTGTTACAGGTTTTCACACAACAAAATGATGAACTCCACATTTCAGCCTTTAAACCATTTTTGAGAGTCAAAATGATCAATTATTACATTAATTTATTATATTAATTTAATAACATATAAATATATCTTAATGTGTTCATTGTTTAGATTTTTAAAGTGCATTAGCATTAGCTTCTTGTCGATCCACCTGTTCACATTTACAATTCTGAGTGTTTGCTGCGTAAAAATATGGGTTGATTTTCACTTTGGTCTGAACAAAAACAGAAGGGCTGATTGAAAATGCACATTCATTCTCTGCCAGCAGGAGGAGCTTTTGGAGCGTCAGCACAGCAGCTGACTTTGAAACGTGCAGCGCTCCTTTTGAAGTTTAATCTGTCCCCAAATTTAAAACCTCTTGAAATCCTAATTAAGACTTTCTTGTACCATTTAAGACTTTTTATGGCCTTAAATCTGATACAACTAAATTTAAGACTTTTTAAGGACCCGCGGAAACCCTGACAAACATGAAGTTAATGTTAAGTGACATTTTAAACACAATATTACCAGTTATTTTGCCTAAATTTCATAAGCAAAACTCAGCAGAGATATGTGAAACATCCCAGTGCTGTTTTAATAAATATCAGCATTTTATATTATAAAACAAACTCTTTTAAAAGAACACAAAGTAGATGAATTTTCACCAGTGCTCTGAGACTTTTACACCCCATTGTATGACAGGACTCATTAATGCAGCTCCCATGTGCACATATAATTAGAAAACACAGGACAAGACACAGAAGTGAACATGAGGGGAGAGAGATGGGAAATAAGAGCAGACAGACAGCAGCTCAGAGAGCAGAATTATTTAAAGCAGCAGCCCTCTGGCCTTTTTAACATTCTTGTTAGCGGTAAACAGGCATGATGCTGTGACGGGGGATGACTTGACATGCCTATAAATGGTTTCAATGAGTTCTCCTCACATATCCCATCATGCCCCATGCTCTCTTCTTTATGCATTATATTCTGTTCCTAAAATGCTTCAGTTACTCCGGCTGCCAAACCTGATGACGGAGGACTAGTTAAATATTTCCCAGAGGATTCAGTCGCTCTGATTCCACTCGCGATTAAAAAGAATACTTTACCTCTTCTCTGAAGGTGCGCACTTGCTCCTTGCAGCCTGGAAGTCCTTGAATAAACTCAATCACCTACAGAATAACAAAGAGGATTAGAGGAGGGACAGCAGCTGAGGTTAACCGAGTCCAAACTAATCAACTGATCTAATAAAACCTTGCATTAATTCTGTCTTGAATTTGAATAGCACGTGGGATATGCAGATTCACACGGGAGCCCTGTGTACCTCATCCACGCTCCACGCTGCCACTTTACTGGCTGTGATGCCTGCCACTGTTGGAAGCAGTTTGCTGTGCTGATCCCAGCAGTGAGGCATGCTGGGAGATGGGCTGGAACACGGCATGAATACAGACTGGTGCAAAGCCTGCTGTAGAGTCAGCTCTGAGAGAAACAGAGAGAGGGAGTCAATTCCATAGTAAACTGAGCATCATTACTCAGGGTATCACCCTAGAGACGGACACTGGGTACTGCAGACGATGCTTTGGAATATATAGTGAAATTAAATGATTACTTAAAGTAGGGATACACCGATATTTATGGCTGATATCCATAAGCCAGTCATTATTTTCATGTTACAGCTGATAAATATTAAAAATCATTGTGTCTAAAAAAAAATGTAAACACTAAAACTAAAAACAGCTGTTGTATATGCTAAAAGTACATTTTATAATAAGAAACAGACAATAGGAACAGATAAATGTACAATTTGAAGTAAGACAAAAATTTGTCTTTATAAGGCGGATCCTTATAAAGGTTGGTTGGCAAAATATTGTGCACAAAGCACAAGAACTATTTGAGTCTTATGTGACATGTATGTTGCAGACCAGCTCTAACAGCTCGATTGTAAGTCACTTTGAATAAAAGCGTCTGCGTTACTTTATTAATGTAATGAAGAAATGTAAATGTAGGTATACTCCTACACACTCTTTAAGGTTATGCTCGTCAGGACTAATGGATGCAGTGTCCATTAACTCATAAAGAATGTAATTTAACGTAATTTGTGTTTAATGATACTGATTTTCTGACACACAGAATCATGGCTAGCAGTGCTGACACAATACCAATCTCAGTATTCAGAAAATAATGGATATCAAGTTTGATACAAAATGTACAAAAATTGCTTCCAAACACTTATTTTAACTGATTAATTACTTTAAATATTATTATAATTATTGTAATTATAAAGGTAATGTTTAAAACCATTAGAAAACCATGTAGCTATGTAGTTTTCAACCAACTATATATATATATATATATATATATATATATATACATACATACATATAGCTTCAAAACAAGTAAACAGTCAAGAGCAGTAAGATATTTTTCAATTTTGTTTTTCTCAGCATTATTGCTGTTTGATAATTATTGCTGACATCACAGACAGCAGCAGGTCTAATCGGCTGCAGTTACAATCATTTAACTGTTTAACTGACTGATATTCGTTAAAAACAAATAGTACACAAGAGCAATTTGAGGGTTTTGTAATCCCAAGTAAAAGTGATTTCCTCTTGGAATTCACCACCTTGATCATAAATGACAAAATCACTTCTTTTATACACATCACCTTGTTGAAGTTGCTCTTTTCACTTTTGTTCAGAAGGTCCCTATGAATAGAGTGCATTCCAGCAGCGCCCTTCAAGAGTGCAAAAAGCCATTTAAATTCACCCAGAGAGCATCATGTTCTCAACAGATATTGGTAAAACTGGTTCACAGTGCACTTAAGAGTGGCATGCACAGCGTTGACGAGCTGCTGTGCTCCGTGCTGGAGGCCAGACGCTGAGATAACACCCTTCCCCACTGTCTGCCTTTCATGGTTAATTCACTCTGACAGAGCCCTTCTTTGAAGTGCGAACAAAAAGAAACGGAACGTTTTAAGAACACGTGTTTATCTTAATATAATGCCAACAAAGGAAAAATAGATCTACAGACAAGGTCAGTCTGCACATATATCAAATAAGAAGTCGATTGTGAGGTTCTACAAATTAGCCAAGGTGTGGTAACGCAGTATTACAGTGACGTTAACACTTACGGAGGTTAAGCACAATATGAACCCTCCTAACTACAGTAAAATCACTCAGTGCCTTGAGTAGCTTACTGGTTTTATAAAATGCCATGACTGGACAAGAGACTCTAAACACATCCCATCCGGATGCTGTGCTCCTAGTCTGTAGGAGCTTTGTATGCTTGTATTTTTGTCTTCTTTGAAGCACACCTTTCTTTATATGACAACTGAGATAGCTCTGAAATTGGTGCGACTTGATGTAAACAGGTGTGACAAATGGCCAATGACATCCTCAAACTCAGAGTGCCAGTAGACACAGTGGCCTGCATCAAATCTGGGGTGACAGAGCGTGGAGACATGCAAATGTCCAGTGTTGGGTGATCTCCATCACCTCCTTTCAGATGGAGCGGCATTTAATAAACAGAGCCGTAGTTCATTGACAAGCTAGGCAATATCACGTTCATAATACCGCTCCATCTGAAAGCAGGTGATGGAGATTTACTACCAATCACAGAACCGGCTTTACTGACGAGATGCGCATGACAATCGCATGCGATTAATTGCACAACCCTACCCTATGGGGTAGTTTTTGTTTTATTTTGCAGCCCACTCTCTCTGTTTCGGCCACGGAGGCAGTCCCAGAATCCGTTCCAGCGCTGGAGTTCATGTTCTGCCCTCCTCTGTCTTCACCCTGGCTATCTGCTGGGGTTCCTGATCTGCTGGCGCCATTCTGGTCATCCTGGCACTCCACTGGGGTTCCTGACCCACTGGAGCTTCCCTGGTCTGTCGCTCCAGCTCCACTCTGGCAATCCGCCAGTGTTTTTGAGATAATAATAATAATATGTTTATTTTATATAGCGCCTTTCTGCAAACTCAAGGTCGCTTTACAATATCAAAACAGATAAACATGACAGCAGACAAAAATTTTTATAAATTACAGATAAACATGAAATCAATGGCATGAATCAGATCATGCAGTCAGAGAAACAAGAAAGGAAAAGATATGTTTTATGGTGGGTTTTGAAATCCTGTAATGAAGAAAGATCACAAATGTGTTTGGGAATAGAATTCCAGAGTGTGGGGGCAGAGATGTGTGAACTGCGGTCTATGTGATATGTTTTGTGTGCAGAGCATGGTGTTCGGACCCCAGAACTCCTGCCGAGTTTAGTTTCAGTTTAGTCTCGGGGTTTGGACTAATATTCCTGAGGTCCTGTTGGTTCCCAGTTGTGTCGTGTCCTGCCATATCCTGCCTGGCCTTGCCAGAGTATTTCCCCTTATTTAGTGGTTTGTGTTTTATTTTGCAGCCCACTCTGCCTGTCTCGGCCACCAAGGCAGTCCCAGAATCTGTTCCAGCCCTGAAATTCAGGTTCTGCCCTCCTCTGGCTTTGCCCTGGCCATTGGTGGGGGTTCCTGATCTGCTGGAGCTATCCTGGTCAGTCCCACCGGCACCACCCTAGCACTCCACTGGGGTTCCAGACCCATTGCAGCCTCCCTGGTCAGTCACTCCGGCTCCGACCTGGCCGTCCAGCAGGACTCCCAACCCACTGGATTCTCCCTGTTCCCTCCCACAATTCCACCTTAGCCATCCGCCAGGGCTCCAGTGTGCTTGGGCTGTGTGCTCTATGTCCATGTGCTATGTTGTGTGTGTGGAGTGTGGTGTTCGGACCACAGCACTCCTGTCTAGTTTAGTTTTGGTTTAGTTTCAGGGTTCGGATTACTGTTCCTGAAGTCTTGTTTGCTCCCAGTTGTGTCATGTCTTGTCTTGCCTTGCTGGAGTATTTCCCCTTTAGGACATGTTTTTTGGTTTATTTTGCAGCCTTCTCTCCCTGTCTCGGCAATGGAGGCAGTCCTAGAATCTGTTCCAGCCCTGGAGCCTCCATGGTCCAGGTCCTGCCCTCCTCTGGCTTCGCCCTGGCCATGTGTTGGGTTTCCTAATCGGCAAGAGTCATCCAGGTATTTCCCTCTGGCACCACCCTTGGCACTACACTGGGGTTCCTGACCCACCGGATCCTCCCTAGTTCCTAGTGTGATTGATTGTGTTGCACAGTGTGGTGTTCAGATCCCAGCACTCCTGTCTAGTTTAGTTTCAGTTTAGTGTCGGGGCTAATGTTCCTGAGGTCCTGTTGGTTTCTAGTTGTGTCGTCTCCTGTCTTGTCTTGCCTTTCCGGAGTATTCCCTTGTTAGGGTAGTTTTTGTTTTGTTATTTAATAAAAGCTCTTAGGGCAATCTAACTTGGGTTCGGACCAAGTGTGACAGCACCCTTATATTCAGTCCTTCATGTCTTTTCAAGAAAACATGTCTGTACTTAAGTGTGAGAAGGGTTCTCTATATCAGTGTTTCCCAACCTTTTTTTTAGTCGCGGCACCCTTTGGAAATTTTAACAAACTTGTGGCACCTTACAAAATTAATTTTGTCACAATATTTGAATTTCTAACTTCGATAATTTGAAAAGTATAGATATTCGGTACAGCAGGGAAGAACTGCAGAGAATAATGTCATACATATATTTTTTATATTATTAAAAAAATTTGTCCATCAATGGTGGCAATCAGCACGCTAATTTCTAATGAAGAGACCAATTTATGACAGATTTTAATGTAGGCTTTTATACATATGTAAACATTTAATTACCATTATAACTAGCTATCTCACAAATTTTTGCTCACTCTGTGTTTTTTTAATTTTACAGTGGGGTAATTTTGGTGCAGTAGCACGAGATAGCTTGATTTCAAACTTTGAATTTAATAAAAAATGACATGTAAGCAGTCAGTAATAAAATAAGAACAAATAAAGAAATTAATAATGATAGCACAAATAAAAAATAATGACAGGCCTTCGAATGAAATACATTGCTTTTTAGTTTTTCAGGTAGGTCTAACAGTAGGGTTAAGATATTTAACTTTTTTTTTTTAACCAATTATCCAAATAACGTTTAGTCCTAGAAAGCTATTATTATCAGAACACGTGAGCATAACATGCAGTTAGCAGATCAATGAATGAGAGGGCAGCGTTACCAGAGTTGCCCATATACCACACCATGTTACAACACAGTAGGGCTATTGCAGACAGAAACAATACTGTACTGCATCCATGTTTCCTGTCGGCTCAATGTTTGAGTGGACTTTGCTGTTCCGTCTGAGCGGAGCGCACACACATAGAGCGGGATAATACGCAGAGCGTCACACCACGTGAAAGTGAAATCTGAGCGGTGAACTAATTTTCGGCAGCTGAAATTTCGGTGCATCTCTAATTATTGGCGACATCAGAAATGGATATTATATAAATTCCCGGTTGGGAAACACTGCTCTATATGACACTGTGGTGAGCCAGAGAAGTCAATGCTGAATATTCACTGAGTTAAGAGGCTAAAGCTGCTCATGTTCTGACATTAATTAGTGGAGCACATAGCCAGTGGGTACCATCTGATGCCTGTTATATAAACACTGTAATCGTCTCTGATATTGGCTCTATCCATGTCATTAGCTGTCATAAAAGCCCATCCTCAAGGGAAATCATAAAAACATGTTGTTGAATACATCTAGACATCTAAGTGGCAATACCATGTTTGCTCTTGCAGTCTTTTAGACCTGGATCAAATTCTCCTAAATCACTCTCTAATAAAGTGAAGTGAAGTGACATGTGGCCAAGTATGGTGACACTCGGAATTAGTGCTCTGCATTTATCCCATCCAAAGTGCACACACACAGCAGTGAACACACACACAAACCGTGAACACACACCTGGAGCAGTGGGCAGCCATTTATGCTGCGGCACCCGGGGAGCAGTTGGGGGTTCGGTGCCTTGCTCAAGGGCACCTCAGTCGTGGTATTGAAGGTGGGAGAGAGCGCTGTACATTCACTCCCCCCACCTACAATCCCTGCCGGTACAAGACTCGAACCCGCAACCTTTGGGTTACGAGTCCGACTCTCTAACCATGTATATGGCCACGACTTCCCCATGTATACCAATGTATTCCAATGAAAAATTGCATTAACTCACAAGTGAAAATTAAAAAGACAAATGAAGCAGCAACGAGAGTGCAGATGTCAGATACTGTCTCTTCAGTGTGTTTGTTTCATATAATTGTGTTATTGAGGGAACAGTATCTGTGCTATGCTTATTCATTCTCAGCACTAAGTGCATTATGGGATGCCAGTGCAAAAGTCAAAACAATTTATTTGTATAGAGTTTTATATAATACAGATTTTCAAAGCATCTTCACATTGGTAAATGGGAAAATAAGTGTTAATGTAAAATTAATTAAGAAACAAATTCAATTTAGCCGTGAAGCAGCTCTACAGAAGATAATAGTGTCATTACGCAGCCCACTTTAGTTCAATGTTGATTCAATTCAGTTCACTAACAGCATTGATGCTGCAAAATTAGTGTCATTATCCAACTCAATTCAGTTCGAATTTAGTTCCCATCCGATAGTGTCAGTGCAGTGAAATTGACAATATTATTGAATATTATCAATAAAGAAATCTAGAAAGAAATTCTAAGCTACTTTTAAATTCACCCTCAGGCTCATTGGAATTGGAATTATATGCTAAAGAAAATTGTATTTATTTATATTTATATATATATATATATATATATATATATACAGTGGTGTGAACGACACATCTGTCCTCGTTGGCATTTTCCCCCAAAACACTCAATCAGGCTCGGGTAACTCCACTGCTTTAAACCCACTCTAAACCTACACACAATCCCCGAGGCTTGCAGGAGCTGCCTCCAAACCGTCTGACCTCATTCTGTGGATCCGTCAGCAGCTCACGACACTATTAATCACCAGATCCTCCTATCACTGGACATCACAGCAACCGCACTCTGCTGCTTTGAGTCCTGCTTCACAGGTAGATCCTTCAGGGTATATTGTCGTGAACTGTATCAAAGTCACATCAACCAGTCGCAGCCGCAAGCCCTGCAGCCCAGTAATGCTGAAAAGCATTATTTAACATCAAGAAGATCAGGTCTTTTTACACAACTCCTCATCCAGGCTCTTGTCATCTCTAGACTGCACTAGTACAATAATCTTCAACCGAACCTCGGCAGATGATCCAAAATGCTAAAACCACTTTAAATGACACTGCTCATTTATCTTTTTTCTATTCCCCCCCCCTCTCTGGGAAAATGTCTCTTTATTCACTTGTCTTTTACTATCAGTGTGATGTTGTTAGCTGCAGTTGCTGAAGCTTCTTCTGTCACAAGGATTCATTTCTTGTGTGTGCAAACATTCTTGGCAATAAATCTCATTCTGATTCCAATTCAGTCAAACAGGATTGTAATTCGTGTTTTCATTTCAAGGCTCAATACTGACGTCCACCAAATGACATGCAAATGCAATATGAACATACAGTGAGGGTGGTGTAGATCTACCTTTGGTTTCGGTGACTGACGACACCTCACTCTCCAGTTCCTCTTCCTGTGGCAGCTCCTCGACTTTCCGGACTTTACAGGGCCGACCAACCCTGAGAGAGAATATCATCAGGTGATCGTGGCATCATCAGAGTGCGACACACAGGCAGATGGGATATGTGACAGTGGCTGTGTTCAGAATAACATACTACCATACTACTCTAACAATGCTTTATGCAGGGCCAGGGGCGCCATTACAGGGGGTGCCGAGTAGGGCTGAATAAACAGAAGATTCAACTGCTTTCATTGATTCAACTTGACTAATAAACACACGACTACGGTCGGCAATATACGGTTTATCTGAGTTCTTATTATCATTTTCATTAAAATAAAGTATATTTATAATGCAATGCCTTTATCACTGCTTAAATACTATGAAATATGTTGCGTGCCTTATTCTGTGTAAGAAGCCACATCATCTCACAGAAGGATTTATTTCAAACACTCGACTGACGTTATGAAGTGAGTTTGGAGTAAAAACATGTTATTAAATGGTAACTTGTCAGTGAATCTTCTATGTGTAGTAAATGCTGCTCCATCTGAAAGCACGTGATGATGATATCCTGCTGATTACAGAACCGACATTACTATCAAAATGCGCATGACAATCGCAATCGATTAATCATGCAGCCCTAGTGCCGAGTATGCCAGGAATATGGGCCCAGGAAGCTAGGGGGGGCCCAAATCACCACTTTGGATTTTTTTTAAAAAGCGCGTCGTCTTGCGCTTTAACAGACAAATACACCTTGCCAATTTGAACATTCAAAAGATTTTAACGTTTCAAGCGCAAGAAGAGGCAAATAACAACTCCATTCAGTGTGTTGTGTGCATAGCGCGCACACAAAAAGCCGCGACTCTGACATCGCGCAAGCCCCGAATGGAGTTTCTTTCCGCGTCTTCTTGCGCTTGAACGGACAAATACATGATACAAAAGTATGCCAACATACCCGTCTTGCCAATATCCTCGAAAACAGTCGGTTATGTATTAAGTGAACTTAGTTGTAAAATAAATCAGATGTGTATCAAGATGTTAGACCCATGAATTGTGTTTAAAGTGACCGCGCCTAATTTACCAGCTGCTGTCAGTGTCCTTAATGTTAATAAAAATAAATAAATTAAATTAAATAATTGATTAATTAAAATCGAGAAAATCACTTACTGCTCTTAACTGAATAACTTTACAATGATTAATCTATGTTTAATTTATACAGTGAAGAATATGCAATGTTATTTTATATTTGATTATTCAGTTTCTGTACTTGAACGACTACAAATCTAAAAAACCAAAGCATCTTTATTTTGTATTTTTGTTCTATTGCTTGTAATTTTCTTCACTTGTTCTTATTTACTGACTGTTCACAAGTTAGGTTTAAGCTTAGTTGCTTTGTTAGGCTTAGGTTAGGTATACAAATTTGAATTGAGAATTGTAAAATGTAACTGGTATCTAAAATGTTGGTGTCATATAAGCTTATTTACTAGAATACAAGATAACATGGGTCAAAAACAATGATAACACGAACTTGTGGTAGTGCCTGTGAATATACTGACCGGGCCAGTAGAAAAAATCCTTAGCGTAGAGCCCTGCATGTACAGTGGGTACGGAAAGTATTCAGACCCCCTTAAATTTTTCACTCTATTTTTTTTTTTTTTTTTTTTCTTCTTGTAATAATGTATTTGGTAATACTGTATTTTAATGTTTGTTTTTTTTGCAGATAATTCAAATGAATGGCCACCTGGGCAATTTATATTAGCTCGGATGTGTCACCTATGTTTAATCCCTGTAAATGTCAAAAAAAAAAGAAAAAAAAAAAAAAAAAGAAAAAACACATTCATCTGGAAGAAGGGGGCACGAATTTCTGTCTGGCATACTCCCCTTAAAACTCTTCATGGCGCCCCTGTGTAGGGCATATAGTTTGCACACTACAAATGTACTACAACACCCCAGTACCGCATGTGAGAACAGCTGTTTTTATTTCTGAGATGAAAACTGGACACCACTCGAATTAAACATGCAACATGGAAAAGTCATGTGACATCAGATTATGTAGATGGTATAAAGCATATACTGAGCAGTATGCAGCAAGCTAGTGTTCCATTTTGAACACAGCCGCGGCTTTGAATGGCTTACTACACAGTGTATCTGGGAAGACTACTGTAGCTCATATCAGGATCATCTATTCTGCATGCGCTGATCTGTTTTGCACAAAATTCCTAACAAGTATTTCAAGCCGAGGTATGATTTTGTATATATTTCTTGTGTAATATAAAGCTCATTATGCAAATCCTTTCTGAAAAGCAAGCAGAAAAATTTCAAGGCTATTTGTTAACAGCTGAACTGGAGAAATGCAATCTCAGAAGGAATTAAAGTGTATCTTCAGAGATCTTGTTTAAACAGTGAGCGATGGCACGGACTTTCCTTTGCGCAAGTCATCGCAACAGTTTCCAGCAACATGTTTGGGTGAAAATAAAGCTTGTTGAGGTCATTATGTCAACAGCACAACTGAGAAGGACGATTTTAACAATGAATCAGCCTGTTAGAAAGTGTCAAGGACAGCTGTTTGTGTCCATCGGCGTGTGTCAGCAGTGTGAATCTGACCAGACCCATTTTTTTTTTTTTTGCATAGACTATTAAGTCTTTGTTAGGATGTTTTATTGCAATTCAACATATTTTCCCCTGACATTCTCATTACTGCAATGTAAAACAATTTCATTCTCATCACTATAATACATAATTACTTTTTCTTGTATTATTTAAATTGTAAAATCATCATGGTTTTTTTTTTATGTACTTAACGCTTTCCCCGCCATTGACAGAATTTTCTGGATTTCTGTGTTTTTTTCCATTATGGATATAATATGGAGAATAATATCAAGAATGAGGCCCTATTACACATCTTCTGAAAGAGTACTGAATCTCTGGATCAAACATGGCGAAGAAGAAGAAGCAGAAACAAGTGATTGTGTATGCAAGGAGATGCATATGTAAAATAACACAATCATCACGCATTAAACAACATATAAATCAAAACTGCCTAATGTTAGCGGATGAAATGTCGAAGCAGGAAGTGTTTTAGCACTGTGAAGCTTTGGGGGTGTTGATGGAAGTGATCTACTCCAGCTTTTGATCATCGTACTAAATCCCATCTGGACGTAGTCTTTGACGAAAACGTCACTTTCTCAGCTTTTTGATCAGAACGTTGCTTTTTTATGAAACTTACCCACATTCAAGTGCTCATAACAGAAGATTGCATGAAACTAGATTAAAACAGATTTGTTGTTTAAAAGCAGAGGCTCCGTTCTTTCTTTTTTTTACATATTGCATGTTCAGATATTCATACAACTAAATATTCTGGGAGCCATGAAAATGATCAAAAATGCTGGCGGTGGCTGGCAACTTTAAAAAAAAAAAAAAAAAAACGCTGGTGGGGAAAGAGTTAATAAAATTCACTTTATTACATTAATGAGAATAGCAATATAAAAGTGAACCGTTTATGCCAAATCAATCACCAAGAGAGTGGCTGAACCTAACCTTCGCTTGGTCTCCGTGCCGACGGGCTTCTTCACCGGCGTCTCCATGGCAGCGGCTGCTGTGCTGGGTTTATCCGGATGTGATGGGACAGAGGTGACGGGTTTGCTAGAGAAACAGAGGCGAGACAGTGATAAATTAACACTTCACTGAAGGTGTGAAAGAGGCCAGACGTGACAAAGTCCTCAGTTTGATCTCAAACAGCACAAGTGTGCTGTTCAGGGCCTGAGAGGATATGATAAGCAAATCAAGTGCAAATATGCTAATTTATTTACAAGAGCAAGCGTTACTCTTTACTGAGCTCACCTTAAAATAAATAAATAAATAATTATAATTATAAAACAACAATTATAAAAGTGGCCATGTTGTACGCTTGTGTCTAATTTTCCTTTTGTGTCCACTATTTGCTATTCAAGTTTCTTGCACCAAAAATTTTATAATTTCTAAAAGTAGGTGAAGGGGAACTTCACAAACAAAACAAAAAAACTAAAATAAAATAAAATGAGGTGGGTTAGGAGGTTTAGAAACATTTAAAGATATTCAACAGTTTTGTTTGAGGCTCTTAGCTGAATATGTTTTTGTGTGTTTGCCTATTAAATATGGGAAATGGAAATATAACAGAAATATGAATGTACAGGTGCTGACATCACAAGCAGCTGAATTAATAATGTATTCGGATCACCTGAATTGCTTTTTGGCACTAAAGAGTGGAGAGACGTGGATCAGAAATAACTGACTGATTCCCTGATTGTTGCATCATAATTTGCTTTAACTTTCGAGCCGACCTTGAATGGATGATGTACAGTATGCTTGCGCACCGGTTGTCAACTGTTATCGGTTGCTTTACATGTCATTCAAACGACCTCTTCTCTCCTAACTGGCGCTTCTTGGTCAGCTGAAGCGGCTACAGGGACCAAACCGTATGCCGTCAGTCAAAAATCTGGCAACATGAAACTAGGTAGTGTGTGATCTTCAGTCATTTAGTGCATGGTGCCCAATTTTTTCTCTGTAACCATTTACAAAGTCAGCAAGTCTATGATGGCTAGTGTTTTAAAATCTGTTCAGATCTGAGTGACACTCAAGCTGAAGTCTCAAGACTTCTCTGACATGGTTAGCAACATAAAGAGCCACTCAGATTAGTAGATCAGAAACATCATGAGCCTACTTTGAGGTAATGAATAAGACATTTATTTAAATTGGCAACTGAAGGTGCAGCTCAAAAGTGTAGACCGCTTCATTAACTATAACGCAAGTCATTTAGTTTTAATGCATCGCAAAATGCCACTCACGTCTGCTGTAGACTAGAATGAAACAGCCGTCTTTGCTACTGTACCTTTAAAACAATGTAAACGAACTCAGACTGAACAGGTAAAGATGTGGGCAATCATATTCAGTTAGATGCATACATTTGCATAGTGTCCCATAAATGTGCATAGTATTCCCAGTTTATAAACCTCTTGCAGAATTGACACAAATATAAAAGATGAAAGTGTACACCCCCGGCTCTTGATGCATTACATTATCTTCTTGAACCTCGATGAATGTTTGCAGCTTTTGTAACAATTGCGTATGAGTCTCAACATCACGCAGTTCTGCAGTTTGGGTGGGCTGGAGTGGGAGTTGCATGCCACACAGTACTGTACATCAAACTGTTATTTAAGGGGTTTTCCATCATATAGGAGCATTTGAAATATTTCATCAGAGAAATGAACACTCACTCATTAGCGTCAGCTGAAATCTCTGTGTTTGGTTCTGCTCTGCGCGGCCGGCCCACTCCGCTTCCCGGCATCTCTCCGCTCAAGCGATCCGGCAGAACCGAGTCCTTATTCAGGTTGATGTCAGAATACGGGCAACCCACGGCACTGAAACACCAGAAAACACGGGTCATTTTACAGACATAACAACTATCATTGTAGCTCAGTAGCTGATACATTTGCAACATTGCATAAACTTCTAAATGGTTACAGCATCTCATTAGTATTCTGCCAAAATAAAAGCTTGACTGTTTGAATGTTTAGAAAGAATTTAATACAATATTAGTATTGTCTCGAGAAAACTATTATGATTATTATAATTATATATATACACATGAATATAATAATCAATATTCATTTTTATTTTACAGTCAAAATTGTAATTTACAGTAATATTTTTTCTGTCTTTAATTTATAGTTACAACAACAACAATAATAATTATTATTATTATTATTGTTGTTGTTATTGTTTTATTATATTATTATTATAATTACAATCGTCATTCAATTTGATGGGGTTCCTAAAACACCAGTAATATATGTACAAAGTCCATTTTCAAAGTCAAAATAAAAGAATAATAATAAAAAAGGATAAAAATGTTATCTATTTACTTGCAAGTCGTGATCATTGACATCTGTGAATGTGTTGTGAAATCACTGAAGAGAAGAAATTAAAGTCAATATGTAATGTCTAAGGGGCTGGCAAAAAGGTTTGTGAATCCCTCGCTTAGAAGTCATCCCAAATATGAAGCATGTTTGATTCGGTAAAGTGATATTTTCCATATGAGATTTGATCAGTATGGGTTTTCTTGCCCTCTGGGAATTTTTTCTCTGACTGACAGTAAAAATGGAAACATCAGAGAACAGATGTGCCACACCGTTCCTCGGGCTGATCGCTGTGCTCTGAGAACTGGTCTGAGTCGTAGTGTTGGAGCAGAAAGTTCAGTGATCATTAGTCTGGTTAGCCTGTGCTGGTTAACCATATCCTATAGTGTATGCTGGAGATGATATTCAGGGACGGGCTGGCCCAAAATATTATCACTTTTTTCCCCCCAAATCATAGTGATATTCATCACGATAAACATTTAGCATTAATGAAGAAGGAAATACTTTCCACATGTTTGTTAGACCTTGAGAATGAATGTAAACATAACTTACAATGAAACTCCACAGAACTGCCTCTTAATTTATGGCCCCATGAAATCGGTTTTATTTCCCCCTAAATTCTGTTTTCCCTTTTATTTTTATTTTTTTCCTGGATTCTGTGTTTTATGATGCAATACAAATTTATCATTAAAATGGTCTACAATTAAATGAATTAATAAAACTCTAACAATTTAATCAATCTTTTAAAATGTGATGAAATGCAAACAATTAATTTACAGCAAAACACTGCATTTTTATTTGTCAAATAAGATGCTGCACAACAGTACTGTATAACAATGAATACTTTTACTATTTAATATATTTAAAAAAACAATTAATAATAACAATAATAAATTATTATTATTATTACTCGAGAATTAAATTTTAGTATACAATAGTAATACATTTCTGTCATAATTTGTTCAAGTTAAACCCGACTTTTTGACGGGTTGCTGTGAAGATCTTTCAGTTTCAGTGTGTATTTGATGGTCGTTTTTTCTCAAAGTAAATGCTGTGAAGCTGGTGAAGTGACTCTCAGGGTAGCTCTGGAGATGAAGTTCATGTTCATGTCTCATATATTAAGACGCAGATGGTACCAAAATTATGAGAGAATATTAAAAATACCTTAATTTGTGTCTAATGGGTTTGGATCAACATGAGTAAATAATGACAGAACTGTTATGTTTGGGCAAACTATCTCTTTAAAGCACATTTATTAAGTTGCTTGAGCAGGGAAGACTTCTATCAAAGCATTCACACCGATGTAAGTGCATTACTGTACACACGATTTTTCAGTGCGATGAGTTGAAATTATGTTCTGTTATTGAAAGCACATCACAGACTGCAGCCATAAATCTTGAATTGAAACCAGAACATCCCTTTAAAGCATTTGTTGTGTATGCTGGCAGATGAATGATAACGCGACACAATTGTCTGCTGAGCAACTCACATTATTTTTACTGAACTTTAACTCAGCTTGATTCTCCATACATCACTATATGGGTCACCACTGGAGTGCAGGCTTATCACAAAACTATGATACCCAATAGTAGGCCTGGGTGATAAAACAGTATCGATATTTATTGACGGTACACCATCCTCGATAACGATAGAAAAAAATGTTCAATATAGCGCATGATAGTTTTGTGCTTTTTTCATTTAAAGGCCCATTTTGAGTGACAAGCAGAGAGCCAACAGAACATACAAACACATGCTGAAGTGAGCGCCGTGCCTGCCTGCGATGAGGAGACTGAATCAAAAGAAGGAATATTAGTCGAATTTAAATGAAAAAACGGTGTATTTGAATTTTAGGTGTGCGTCAGGGAGCCTTATCAGCGGCGCACGAGATGATGATGATGTAAGTGTCGTTGTTGCATTTTAATGTTTTTGTTAGTCTATCCAGTTGAACCCACAAGATGCGCCACTGCTGCATTTTCCATTCAAAATATTCGAGAAATATTGAAGCTCAATGCGGAGAAGATATTGGTTAGGTTAAAACCAAAACCAAGCCATTCACACAGAATGCATATTCGGCGCATTTTTGAGATGCACAACTATGACTGTTGCACTCGCGTCTCGCTCAAGAGCTGAATAGAAAGCCATGCAAAGTTAAAAGAGGTTCAACTTTTAGAAAACATGTCTGGAGAATTTGAGGGGGTTTTATTCCATTCCACGGCATCTCATATGTTTTTAAATGCAATCGTGTGATCGGCGCATTGGCTATTTGTATTAAAGGTGGGGTAAGCGATTTCTGGTAGCCAATGTTGAAATTTGAAATCACCAAAACAAACACACCCCTACCCCAAAAGGGTCTCGCCCCTATTTTGATAGCTCCGCCCCACACATACGTACGCAACCCAGGCAACGATTAGTTCTGTGAAACAAAGCAAAACCAATGTTACACCGTGTCTACACCGGACGCGAGTGGCGCGACAAAATACTATAGAACTTATTATAATCAGTGATGCTGTCTACACCATATATATATATATATATATATATATATATATATATATATATATATACATACATATATATCTATGTATATATACAGTGGGTACAGAAAGTATTCAAATATTTGCTACAATCATTTAAGTTAATTTTTTTTCCTCATTAATGTACACACAGCACCCCATATTGACAGAAAAACACAGAATTGTTGACATTTTTGCAGATTTATTAAAAAAGAAAAACTGAAATATCACATGGTCCTAAGTATTCAGACCCTTTGCTCAGTATTTAGTAGAAGCACCCTTTTGATCTAATACAGCCATGAGTCTTTTTGGGAAAGATGCAACAAGTTTTTCACACCTGTTCTAAAGCGTTTTTTGGAAAATCGCTTACCCCACCTTTAAGCTATGCATAAATACATGATGCTGTTTTGTTTATTATTGTTTATACAATTTACGAAATCATAATTGATTTATAAATATTACTTTAGACGTTATGCACTTTTTTATAGACAGCCGTTGTTTCATTGCATTGAATAAACAGTTTAATGAGGTGCATTATTTTGCTCATTGCGCCCTCCTGTGGTCTCAGGAGACGGGCCAAATGTTTCCTTTACACTTATTTAATCTGCAGATAAAAATAAGAAAGGAGATATTTGTTTCAATTTTATTTTGTGTTTGACTGTTAAAACTAAAATTAGTTGTTGTTTGATTCAATAAATTGGGTAAATTAAAAATACAGTGGTCAAAAAAACAAAAAAAATTCTACTGCTGTTTAAAAAAGGTTATAAAAAATTCAATAATTATCAGTACTGAATGATATGAAACATTATATCGTGATACATTTTTTAGCTATATCACCCAGTTGTGGTCTCAGGAGACGGGCCAAATGTTTCCTTTACACTTATTTAATCTGCAGATAAAAATAAGAAAGGAGATATTTGTTTCAATTTTATTTTGTGTTTGACTGTTAAAACTAAAATTAGTTGTTGTTTGATTCAATAAATTGGGTAAATTAAAAATACAGTGGTCAAAAAAACAAAAAAAATTCTACTGCTGTTTAAAAAAGGTTATAAAAAATTCAATAATTATCAGTACTGAATGATATGAAACATTATATCGTGATATTAGACCTATCTAAAAAACCTGAAAAGCACTGTTTATTTTATTTGTATCTTTGCTCTATTGTATTTATTTGTGCTATTGCTTGTAGTTAGATTATTTGTTCTTATTTTCATTTGACAATATAGTTTTCCATAAACATAGCACATACCGAACCGCACCGAAACCGTGACTCTAAAACCGTGATACAAACCGAACCGTGAGGAAGTTGAACCGTTGCACCCCTACTACCCAATAGTACATACAGTACAGCATTAAATAATTATTTGACTCTTAAAAAGTGCATGTTCGAACCCGAGTTCGATTGATTCCCCTCCTCTGCTGGATTGTGTTCACGCTTAAGTTTTTTTGGTTCCAAACCACCGTATGTTAGTGTCATCCGTGTGGCAGCTGTTGCAAGGTATCGATTATGCAGAAGACGGAGAAATGCACAGATACCGAAGCTTTCTTCACTTGTTTTTTGTTTTTTTTGTCAATTTAGTTTTGTTTCCAAAGCACCAACACAAAATGGCACATATACAAATTTAATGCAGCATGTCAAGGAGATGGGAAACGAGATCAAAAATGAGTTGTGAAATACATCAGCAATAGCATGATTCTATGGATAAAAACGTGTCAAAATGCTTGCTTTTGGCCAGTGACCTCATAAACAGTCTTAAATTGGTTAAAAAGTCCTAAATGAACTGGGAGAAATTCGGATGCGTGTTAGATCCGCTCACGTGCGTCAGGTTTTAAAGACACAGCGCTGCTTTTAAAGTGAAACCTGCTGCAGTCTGTCATTAATGAAAAAGAGAAATCACTCACTGCTCTGCTCGCTGACTCACTTTTGTAGCTTGAATAAAGATTAAGCTAGATAGGCTACTTAGTAAACAGATGCCATTAAACACATTTCAAATATACCATCTTTATGTTGTTTCTACATTCATTTGGAGATTCAATATGAAATGATGACAATACGAATACATTATATCAATATGCAATTAATCAAGATTAATTACAGAAAAATGTGATTAATTAGTTCATTTATTTAAATCGAATGACAGCACTAATATATATATATATATGTATATTTGTAGTTTTTTTATTCACACACATTCACACTGACCTGTGGTGTCCAGAGTAGCGGGCTCCTTTGATGTGACCCACTCCTTTACAGCCTGGCGTAGGACAGCCGCTCTGCTCAGACGTCTCAAACACGTCCTGAGGAGCTTTGAAGACACACACAGAAACACATCACACATTACACGTCATCCTCACTCTGGAAACCACAATATCAGCTTACACACAGAGTTTTCAATGACGGTTTTTGATAAGTGATTACACATACACAAGCTTCACCAAGACCAAATATAATAAAATCAAATGTAATTTGCACATATGGGTGTTTCTTCAGCTTTGGACACTCTTATGTCCCAGGGGTTGATTTTTCTTCAAATTTACTTACAGACTTAGAATGTGTTCTTTTCGTTGTCATATTATTATTTTGTTTCCATTTCCTACTTTTTTTGCTTTAGATTTAATCGTTTTACCCTTTAAAGTGTTGACACTTTCTAATCTACAATGAGCATATCAGTCCATTATAAAAAACAAACAATCCAAAAAAATTATAAAATAGAATCCTTTACAATATTTTTTGTGTGAAATGATTTGCATACATGTTTATGTTTATTTTTCATTATGGTTGTCCCCCAGTTGTGGTGTCATTTCTACAACTGTGTCAGTGAAGAGCGTGAGTGCTTTAAGTTATTAATAGAGTACATATAGAAGATTTATAGAGAGCGTGCATATATAGACTCGGATACAGATTCATATATAAAGATATACAGACTCCGATGGTTATATTCTCTTTTCCCTGGTTTCTCTCTCTTTTCTCACACTTGTTCTCTCTCTCTCTCTCTCTCTCCCTCTCTCTCTCTCTCCTCTCTCTCTCTCTCTCCTCTCTCTCTCACTCTCTCTCTCCTCTCTCTCTCCTCTCTCTCTCTCTCTCTCTCTCCACTCCGTTTCCATGGACACAGAGGAAGGGAACGAGAACGAGAAGAAGATTATCAGCAAGACTGACTGGAGAAAAGCTCATTGTTCAACAGCATTTTCCCAGCATCCTTTGGAGCTAATAGAAGATATTGACATGAGAGGAAGAGAGAGGACTGTTAGACACTTCATCCCTCTTTTATACCCACATCATTCCTTCTCTCTCTACCGGCTACAGTTTTCCATGAAATGACGAGGAACATGGCTGTCATTTAGAGGGTCTGAAGCAGTCTATTTACAGATGATACAGAACGCTGTTAGAGTGGCCATTAACTCAACATTTAGGGTTGGGATTATCTGAATCATTATAAAAGCAGTGAGTACTTTCTCTCTCTCTCAAAACAAAAAATCCTAGTGTAAAGACAACTGCGTAAACATATTTGCTCTGCATTATACATACCTAAAAAATCTAATCTTAGTCAGTTTCTTGTTTGGTCGCACAGAAAAATATTTGGAACAATTCAATAGTTCATTGATATTTGCAGTACTAAATAAAATATTCTTTCTTTGTGCATTGCCTGTTTTATCCATAAGATGGACATGTGATGCTGCCTTAAAATCTGGCCAAAGCCAAGTGCCTTCGAAGGCCTCAAGTGTTGCTGCTTAAGATTTGTAACAGCTGTTCGCGCCGCCGTGCGCTATTAGCTAATGACTGCCGCGGGAAGGACACTGGTTGTGTGATATCGCTCTGTACTCACTGATGGGTGGCTGCAGTGGGTGTCCGATTTTGGCGCACCACCCGGCAGGATGAATATCTGGGCTGTCTGCATCGATCCAATAATCATATTCATCTGTCCAGCCATCAAAATGGATCTAAAAGAGAGCAATGCAGATCACTCTTTTACAACGCAAAAAACAATAAAACTGCGTCCCAAATGATGCACTATACACTTAAAGACTGTACATTATATACTTATGGACTATGCAAATATATCTTAAAATCTTTGACATTTAAAGTTCACATTAAAGTTTATTATTCGTTCTCGTTTTAAATATAAACCTCGCTGAATTTAGTGAATTTAGCAAATCTCCAGATTTACTGACAGCTTGCACCAGCTCAAACCCTCTTTTGGTGTTAAAAAAAACTACGGGCAGGATTTACTAAAGTCACACAGTGAAACATTAGTGATGAAAAGGCATGAACACAGTCATTTTTGGGGCTGATCTTACTGCATATGTATTTGTAGGAGTTTTCCTTTAAGGCGCAACATTTTTGGGAAGAGTATTTAAATTAGGGGTGACAAACTCACTTTAGGTTGAGGGGTCGGATCTGAGAAAATGTCACCTTGTGCGGGCCGAATAATTTTATTACAATTACATTAATTCTAACCAAACTACAATATAATTTACAAGAAAAGATTTTTTCCCCAAAGATGATGCTAGGTTATTTTAGAGGTTTGTATAATTACACCATATTTTGCAATAATTAATTACACCATGTTTTGCCAAGTGTGTTTCAAAGATAGTACCTTATTTGGTTTTAACATGTCATTTACAAATAAATAGGAAACTAACACTGCCAGTAGGTGGCGGCAAGTCCCCATCTTAATGTGTGATTCATTGACTCATTCATTCAAATGATTCGTTCAAAACGGCTGATTAATTTAGAAACTCACTTAATACTAACATCTTGTTTGTTGAACTGTTGCATAAAATCCATTCATTTGCGATGGTGCTGATATTCGGGAAAACAACACTCTTGCTCGTGTGATATTGCTTAACTATCATGCCATAAGTATAAAATCTCTAACAGGGCATTTTTTACCTCCATATCTGGTATCTCCATAATACTCCATAATAGTCTCACTATCATAACTGCATTCTAATAGCCTTCAACCCACAGCGAAAGACTCTCAAGACGTGTTTTTGTTTGTTATTTTGCAAAGCGAGTCACATAATGTCAGCTCGCACATTCTTAAAATAACAATTATGCTATTATAGTAGATGATAAATATCGCACACCCCTAGCTTGCTTACTTTTCAATCCTAAACTGCCCAGTGCCTCTCATAGTGTCGTTTAATATCGCACTTTTACCACAGCCACGGGTTGTGATTAAACGGTCAGTTTCTGTAAGATGACCTTACAGAATATCTTTCTTTGCATTTCTCCTTAAATATCTGCCCTTCCAAGTCAAATTTATAACGTGCATGTGTGTTAAGTGTCCCGAGGCATAATATCAACACACACAAAAAATTAGCAATTTGTTTAAGTTAAAAATAAAATATTGCAGCTAATATACTTTATTTAATGTATTAATTATTATTTTATATTTTTGTTCAAATCATCCCACAGGCCGGATTGGACACCTGTGAGCCGCATTCAGCCTGCGGGCTGTATGTGTGATACCCCTGAATTAAATGAATCATACAAAGTGATTTACTAAGGTTTGTGGTAGTAAATTTACTAGTATCTTAGCCATTATTTAACGCCCAAAAAACACTTTGTAACCCATTGCCATTGGTAGATTACAGTGGTCATTATGGATGTGATCAGGCTGCATCTGTGTAATGTGCGCATTGTCAGCAGCAGAACTTTCCACTCCCATCGGCGCGTTTATGGCATTGTGCTCTCACATTAATTTACCCTGTTTAGTAAACCCGGCCCACATTGTGGCATCTGATGGAAAAACATGGGTGGTGTGGTATAGTGGTTTAGTACTGTAACTGGTGGCTGGTTTGGTCCTCACATGAACAACTTGTCAATGTTGTGCTCTTAATCAAGACTCTTACATCCAGGTTGCACCAGGAGGAATTGTTGCTGCACGGTATCTCTGGTGACACTGCATGACCGTCACTACAAATCCTAACGGAGTTGGTTGTGTGGCGATAGATAGAGATTTTATTCTTACATAAGGTACAAAACACCCCGCCGCACTTCAGATGAAACCTGGAACAGCATGGCTACTAGCATTTCAAGGTCCCTTGAGAAGATTATCTTCATATTGCAATGCACATCTCTAGAGATGTTAACATTCAAACTGGAATCTTAAAGAAGCGTTGGCAGCGATCAGACGGCTGGCAGGGTGTTTCAGTCATATTGTGTTTTAGACTTCCTGAACTCTTTGAAAAGAGCTGCTGCAATCACAACAATGAGAAGAAAAGAGCAACGGCCCTTAAATGACAGCCTGTCTCCAGGACTTCGATAAAATGTGTTCCTGGGAAATCAGCCGGACTGCAGGAACAGGGACGGACTAAAAAGGCGAGCCGTGTTTTTAATGGTGTTCACAGCACAGCTGACAGTCATTATGTGGAGGCTGAGTGGACTGGCTTTGTGCCGCCCATCCAGACCAGACTGGCTTTTGTGATTCACTGCGTGATAGTTTGAGATAAAGAAATGTTTCATTTGCATTCTTATCATCAGTCTCACTCTCTTTTAGCCTCTTTCCAGTTTGCATGCGTCCATCCATGACATCCATTTATCATCTCTCTCATCTCTATCATCTCGTTTTCCCTTAGCTTCCCCTTGTAGCATAATTGATGTAATGATACTGATCCTTTTCCCGTTCTATTTCCACAAAGGATTTGACATGTGAATCCATAACTTGTAGTGTAAAAGTTTTTTTTTTAAACAAAATTTAAGGTTTTCATAAAGCCAACTTCTAATTTTTATAAAGCCATGGGTTTAAGATTTTTTTTAAATACTACCAAATAAACTACTCCACAGATACCCTGTAAACAGGTTTGAGTTGAACAGGCAAAAAAAAATGCAATGTGATTTACTAAGGTCTGTGGTCGTAAATATACTGGTATTTGTGTCATTATTTAAAGCCCAAAAATGCATGTGTTAACCCATTGCTGTAGGTAGACTGCCCTTAATTGAGACACCTAAGGCCAGGAGAAATTGTTCCTGCAGGGTCATAGTGTCTTTCTCTGGTGACACTGTGTGAACGTCACAACAAATCCCAGAGGAGCTGGTTGTGTGGTGATAAATAGAGATTTTACTCTTACATAAGGTACAAAACACCCCACGGCACTTCAGATGAAAGCAGGAACAGCTTGGCTACTAGCATTTCAAGGTCCCTTGAGAAGATTATCTTCATATTGCAATGCACATCTCTAGAGATGTTAACATTCAAACTGGAATCTTAAAGAAGCGTTGGCAGCGATCAGACGGCTGGCAGGGTGTTTCAGTCATATTGTGTTTTAGACTTCCTGAACTCTTTGAAAAGAGCTGCTGCAATCACAACAATGAGAAGAAAAGAGCAACGGCCCTTAAATGACAGCCTGTCTCCAGGACTTCGATAAAATGTGTTCCTGGGAAATCAGCCGGACTGCAGGAACAGGGACGGACTAAAAAGGCGAGCCGTGTTTTTAATGGTGTTCACAGCACAGCTGACAGTCATTATGTGGAGGCTGAGTGGACTGGCTTTGTGCCGCCCATCCAGACCAGACTGGCTTTTGTGATTCACTGCGTGATAGTTTGAGATAAAGAAATGTTTCATTTGCATTCTTATCATCAGTCTCGCTCTCTTTTAGCCTCTTTCCAGTTTGCATGCGTCCATCCATGACATCCATTTATCATCTCTCTCATCTCTATCATCTCGTTTTCCCTTAGCTTCCCCTTGTAGCATAATTGATGTAATGATACTGATCCTTTTCCCGTTCTATTTCCACAAAGGATTTGACATGTGAATCCATAACTTGTAGTGTAAAAGTTTTTTTTTAAAACAAAATTTAAGGTTTTCATAAAGCCAACTTCTAATTTTTATAAAGCCATGGGTTTAAGATTTTTTTTAAATACTACCAAATAAACTACTCCACAGATACCCTGTAAACAGGTTTGAGTTGAACAGGCAAAAAAAAATCAAACCCTTTTGTCTCTGTCCTGTGGGATAGTCGAGTGCGTTGCAGAGAACCATCAAAGACCTGGACATAAAGGTATTTTTCCTCCAAGTCAATTACAACTGCTTCAGGAAATATTGATAAACAAAATTTAAGGTTTTCATAAAGCCAACTTCTAATTTTTATAAAGCCATGGGTTTAAGATTTTTTTTAAATACTACCAAATAAACTACTCCACAGATACCCTGTAAACAGGTTTGAGTTGAACAGGCAAAAAAAATCAAACCCTTTTGTCTCTGTCCTGTGGGATATTCGAGTGCGTTGCAGAGAACCATCAAAGACCTGGACATAAAGGTATTTTTCCTCCAAGTCAATTACAACTGCTTCAGGAAATATTGATGGGGGATTTTAAAACGCTGTGAAAATCAAACAAATCCATCCAGTGCATGGCACAGAGCTCCGGTGAATGTCAGCGAACAGAGGTGATGAGAGAGAGCAGCACTGGAGGTGGAGGTCGTGCACTATACGGCTCTAACACATGAACAAGACAGACACGTGTAAAGCAAGCATTGATTGGGTGTTTAAGAGAGAGACATCTGTAGAGGATCACGAATGACGGCTGAGCAGACAGACAGTGTGAGCATGAGAGGAGGGAGATCTGACAGCTCTCCGTGTGAGTGTGAGACAGACAGTGACATCTGTTATTTCTCTCGGTCCGTGTAAATGATGTGTGTGTATTCTGCTGCCCTCTTCGATCCAACATGTGTAATTACAGCCAAATGATTACGATACATTTGAAACCCCAGATGGCATGAACGCAGACTGCTGCACATTGCACTCAAAAATGACTAAAGGATACCCTGACTAAAATCGCCTTTCACTTTGCTTCGTGCAAGGAATCTTTGCTTCGATCTGGGAATGAGGCCTGTTGGTTGTTAGTAGGTCATTCTAATCAACTGCTGCGCAATGTCTACATACTCACTGGTGGTCGGCACATTGGTCATAACCCAACTTTGTTGCACTGCCAACAATCGTTAATGTTGCCTCAAACCACCAACTCTCATTAAAAATGAAAGTCTTCAAGTCGCTTTGCTGCTCACTCAGTGTGAACAGCTGTGAATGCTTGGCCTTGTCAATCTCTAATATAAACTGAGTCTTGCTCCGTCTTTCCTTTTTGGAAAACACTCCAGTTTCAAATATATAATCCAATAAGGTTTGTATAATGCAATTAGCATCAAACATGTGAAACATGGTTGTAGTGCATACACTGAACTGAAACTTTCAGCACTGCTTTTGAAAGCAAAGGAGTGATGACAGAAAACTTACAACCACAAGAATCTGCATTAGAATGGCTTTGGTACAAACTCCACACATTACACGCATCCATGTGCATGAAGAGTAGACGTTAATCAGCTGGAGGACTGACAGATCATGTTCCAAATAAGATTTCTATACGGAGCAGAGCTTTCCTGCAGCCCACACGAAGGGAAGCACAGATGAGTCATTCTGATCGCTTCTAAACTCCCAAACAGACAGCTGAGAGATCAGATGCTGTCATGGGATCACCGTCAGCTGAATCAGCACTGCATCACTGGATGTTCACTGACAATTAAAGTGATAACAGAAATCAGTGATGAAATGCTTTGATCCAAAGTGGATTTCATGAATACATAAGCAAGAAGCAGATCATACTCCGTCTCTATATAGGACACATTTTGTAAAAATTGTGTGTGAGATGTTTAATGCATGTGAAGCAATGATGAATAAAATCAAAATGTCTTTTAAAATGAGCTCCATATTTTCACCATATCATACTATATGAGCCATAAAAGCCTGATGTGCAAATGCGGGACGGTCCCGAAATTGGGAGCTTTGTCCCGCATCCTGAAATATGTAAGCAGTGTCCTGCATTTCAATTATGTCTGTATTATTTTCTTTCTTCCTATAATTTACAATCCACAATAAGAAATATCATAATAAAAAATGTGATTGTCATTTAAAAATCCATTTGCGCAGCCGTCATGTTGTAGCGAGAGTGGGGAAAATAACCAACCAACGCATTCACAGAGAGGATTTTTTTCCACTGATGACGACTGGACGGAGCAAAGGATTCAGTGTGGGCACTGCATCGCTGGATGTTCACTGACAATTAAAGTGATAACAGAAATCAGTGATGAAATGCTTTGATCCAAAGTGGATTTCATGAATACATAAGCAAGAAGCAGATCATACTCCGTCTCTATATAGGACACATTTTGTAAAAATTGTGTGTGAGATGTTTAATGCATGTGAAGCAATGATGAATAAAATCAAAATGTCTTTTAAAATGAGCTCCATATTTTCACCATATCATACTATATGAGCCATAAAAGCCTGATGTGCAAATGCGGGACGGTCCCGAAATTGGGAGCTTTGTCCCGCATCCTGAAATATGTAAGCAGTGTCCTGCATTTCAATTATGTCTGTATTATTTTCTTTCTTCCTATAATTTACAATCCACAATAAGAAATATCATAATAAAAAATGTGATTGTCATTTAAAAATCCATTTGCGCAGCCGTCATGTTGTAGCGAGAGTGGGGAAAATAACCAACCAACGCATTCACAGAGAGGATTTTTTTCCACTGATGACGACTGGACGGAGCAAAGGATTCAGTGTGGACCTCATCAAAAGTCTTTAAATACAGCTACACCAGCCAGGACTTCAGCTAGACACATACTTTATAAGAACATCCTGATCGAAGCTGCCAGATCCAATAAAAAAATACAAGTTCAAGATGCACTGAATCCAGTAAAATACATTTAATGTTTGCATAGTCTAATAAAGGAACATAGTCACTACTTAAGGAAATTTATTTTAGCATAAAATTAGATTTTTACTAACTAGCCTGTTACCAGAGGTGTAAAAAGTACCTGAAAATCATACTTGAGTAAAAGTACAGATACCTTACACTGAAAAAGAGTATCTGATTTTAACGGTACTTAAGTATTTCACTCACATTAAATGAAGGCTCAAAGATGCACTAGTCCTCAACAGCTAAGAGAAAAGCCAGTGAAAAACAAGAAACAGCTGATCTGTGAGGAGAACAATCACATGTTTATTTTCTAAAATCAAAATAAAACCGAACAGCTCAAAATTGCAATAAATGAAGGTCGACGACACAGCCTCTTAAACGTCTACAAACACTGAAGTCTGAGTTTAGCTCAAAAAGAGCAGAAGTAAAGCAGTATCCTTCAAGAAGGTCTCAGCCATGTCCTCATCTCATAAATGAAACGCCTGCGATTCATAACTAGCTGCTAATGCACTCACGTTCATGTAAAGCAGCCGTGTTGACGAGTTTGGGTGAGTAAGGGCAAAACGCACAAGATATCGTATCTTCAATAACCTGGAGATGGCGATATCACTTCTTTTGTAGCAGAAATAAACGTTCGGTGCCATGCTAAAAAGCTGCATTAATCATCACAAATGTAGTGGAGTAAAGAGTACATGCACTTACTCAAAAATGCTATCAAGTAGAGAGTAAAAGTTGCTGATATCTTTGATACTCAGTAAAACTACAAAGTAACCAAAAAGATTCTTACGGTAACTAATTACATTTGCTCAGATACATTGCACTGCCTGTTACTCAGTTTATTATACTGAGGAGACTGAATAGGTCCTTTAGAGTGAATTACATTGCATCAATCGAACCTGTGCAAACTGAGTGCCAGTCACAGAGCTGGTCACCATCAGCAAAGCTTATTGATGATTTAAAGCAACAGAGAAATATCCAAGTGGCCACCCTAGATAGGCCTATAACAACATAAAACAAATGTTCTTTTTTAATATTTTGTCTACAGGTTCAATAGACTGGTCTATTATTTTTTTTGACTATTATTTCATACATCAGGCTTTAAAACAAGGTCAACTACCTGACCGGTCTGGACCAACATGGAAATTCACGCTGAGGCAGCATTATGTGTGCAAAATATAGTTTCTCACCCGCAGTCGATGGTCGTCTGTATCAACCACTGTGGCCACTCGGATCAGAGCAGGATTCCTCTTGTCGACCACCTCCAACTTCATATTGAGCTGGAAACTGTGAGGAGGTTTCTGCAGAGAGAGGCCGAGAGAGGCTTGTTCAGGCACCTCGGGTCTCTCAGAGGACCTGCAGATGTTTGGCAAGAAGCACATGCACTCACCACTTTGAAGGCTCGAGCAGGAGCTGGTAATGAGCTGGTCTCTGCCAAGTATTTCTCCCAGGAGAAGTTCTTCACATCAGGGTATCCTACAGCACGGAGAGAGTGAGGTTTGAGGGACTGATGAAAACATGATATTTCCCAGTGCTCACTGGTTTTTATGGTGTATTATGAGATCATTTTGAAAATGGGACAATCCTAAAAGTGGGCTTTGAGGCTGGTCCGCTACCTGCTGAACTAGAGACAACATTAAACATTGTTACGAATAAATAAATAAATAAATAAAAACTAATGGACATCTTTTATAAGAGAATGAACTACTCGCTTCGTCCCATGAAACATTAGGAATGACATAATCAAATCAGAAATTATGTTAAATACAACAGAGTTCATGCAAGTTTTATGAACGTAAATGTAAGACATTTTAAAGCCCTTTGAAAGACCAATTAAAGAAAATTTAAGCAATAAATTAACGGGAACACAATACGTCAATATGGTCTCTAAATGTAGATGTCTAAATCATTTTTAGCAAGACTTCAAAGCTTGAAAATACAACTTCCAACCAATCTACATTACTTTTATCTAATTCATTTCACACACACACACACACACACACACACACAAAAGCTGGAAATGAAGTGAATTTATGATTAAAAAAGGGTAAATATTTGCCAGTGGGCTTAGAAAAATCAACTTAATTTTGTTCAGAAAACAAGACTTCGTATCTTTACTTTGCATCTCAAGTAAATGTATCTTGATTTGAGGATGTTTCAATATTTGTAATGAAAAACAAAACAAAAACACTGACAAAGATATTCATTTTTTTGCAGCGCAAGCAACATTTAATGCCATTAAATCTACGAATTTAAGACTTTCTGCTCCAATTTAAGACTTTTTAAGGCCTTCATTTGTGGAAGGGTGAATTAAGACCCGCAGAAACCCTGATTCAACAACTGACTTGCAGAGGACTGTGTGATAAAGAACTATATACAATATGTCCTTGTGATTTTCCTGGTGCAGAGTTACTAATATACATCTAAGGGTGTGTGAATAACTGGGTCTGTCTTTCTTCAGGTCAACTCATATAATCATGAAAAAATCAGTTTGCCATCAGTTGTGAGAAGATGAAAGCGATATCTGTGTCGTTGTATCCTTTCAGTATTTAAGGGGATTTCCCACGACTGTCAGCAGCGCTGTTCAGTACACTGAATCAATGGCATTGTTCTCTATGAAGTGAAATATCAGCTTCACTGTAACCCATGTGATGCGTTGATTGTTGACTGAGCCTTGTAAACTGGCACTCAAAGTAAATTAACGTCAACACCTTGTTTCATTCATGAATAAATCAGCATTTTTAAGTGTATCCCTTGAATGAATGTTTTTGTAATGATGACTCACTCGTAAAGTCAATCCATTGCCGCCATCTGCTGGTGTAATAATGCCTGACAGCCCAGCGCTGATACTGAAACATCACTATATAGTCACTATACAGTCAGTGGCATAAAATGGTCATAAAATGACAATAATATTGCTTCTCGCAATTATTTCTAGGGCAATATATCACTAAATTAAAAAAAATAGTTAACAAGACCAGCCTATGGACAGGTGGCTTGATAGGCCATCTATCAGTGGACCTGACACCAGAAGAGCTAAGAAAAATGGACAACACAAAAACACGTCAATATTAATGGGGGGCGGGGGTCCATGTGGTTGGTTTGAGATATTATGGGGGTCCAGTACTCAAAAAACGTTGAGAACCACTGCTCTAGACCACGTCCTCATACTGAAGTCCCTCTGAAGACGCTTTGAATATGGACAGGTGGCTTGATAGGCCATCTATCAGTGGACCTGACACCAGAAGAGCTAAGAAAAATGGACAACACAAAAACACGTCAATATTAATGGGGGGCGGGGATCCATGTGGTTGGTTTGAGATATTATGGGGGTCCAGTACTCAAAAAACGTTGAGAACCACTGCTCTAGACCACGTCCTCATACTGAAGTCCCTCTGAAGACGCTTTGAAGCTAGTCTGCATTTCAGCTGGAATGATGGCTTTCACATGCTAAGATCTAAACCAGCACAATAACCTAACATCTTACTGCATATTATCAGAGATCCGCAATAAATGAGCTTCAAAAATACAACACACAGACCTGAACTTTCCTTCTTCCTTTCACAAGCTCTTTCTAACATAGGAATAGGCTACTTCTAAAGCAGGCAATTGCAAAATAGTGTTTTGAAAATCTGTTTTTTTTGTACATTTTTCAAAAAATGATCTATGATATTTGTGTTGACGTGTTGCATCACCTGGAGGGGTGGTGAGGGTCCTGCCGTTCTCTTGACTCCAGCCAACCGGATGGATATAAGGACTCGTTGCATCACACCTGCGGAAAAGAAGAAATACACAAATGCAATTTAATGCAACTGGCAAAATAATCTATTTCATGCATTTCATGCAATGTTTCAAAAACCCTGAATCCATTTCCCCCTTAAAATTGAGCTCTTTTATAAATTCTTATCTTGTTTGGGACAGACAATGCATGCATTAAAATACAATGAAATACACACAAATTAACACGGCTTTGCAATCCATCTGCGCTAGTCAGTGACAATCCAAAAAATGGTGCACACATCTGACAGACACAGACAGAAGGAAAAAACTATTCTGATAAATCAGAACCAAATAATCATGTGCAGGTAAGACACAAACAAACTCTCATCAACTTTTAAAAGAGAAGCGAAATTGATCTTTCGTCGTTTGACCGTCTACGTTAATTGTACGCATCATAATTACTTATTTTCCTGTGGTTTATTGTCTCCCAAAAGCATGAAAGCATCAAAATTCAACCAAACGCTCAAAAATTTTGTGTTTCGTTATGTTTCCGCAGGCAATGTTAATACATTTCAATATTGGATTTTAAGGACATTTTGATTGTTTTAGTAGGATAAACATTTGTGGAGCGGTGTTGGGTCTCTACTCGGTCCTGAAGCAAAACTAGTTGAGAATGAGTGATCTAACAATCATTTCAGCAGTGCTGGAGTAAAGCTGACCAGCCCCAGATTGCTCGTAACCCACAACATCTGATGCGTTTCTGATGATAAGATGGCTAAAACAGAATTATGTACTGAAACAGGCACCAATTCTCCTGAACTCATGAAATAATTTGTTTGATTAAAGTGAAACAAATGTGGTGATGAGATGTTCAGGAGGCGCTGTGGCTCAATGCACAGAGATGTCAGATGTGATTGTGTGATCTGAGCTGAAGACACTGTGTGTGTGTGTGTGTGTGTGTGTGTGTGTGTGTGTGTGTGTGCTTGTGTGCGTGTGTGAGTGTGAGTATGTAACTGTTTGCGTGTGTGTGAGAGAGAGAGTGTGAATGTGTGTGTGTGTGTATGTGTGAGAGAGTGTGAGTGTGTTTGTGTGTGTGTGTGAGAGAGAGCATGTGAATGTGTGTGTGTTTTCCTGGTGCAGAGTTACTAATATACATCTAAGGGTGTGTGAATAACTGGGTCTGTCTTTCTTCAGGTCAACTCATATAATCATGAAAAAATCAGTTTGCCATCAGTTGTGAGAAGATGAAAGCGATATCTGTGTCGTTGTATCCTTTCAGTATTTAAGGGGATTTCCCACGACTGTCATCAGCGCTGTTCAGTACACTGAATCAATGGCATTGTTCTCTATGAAGTGAAATATCAGCTTCACTGTAACCCATGTGATGCGTTGATTGTTGACTGAGCCTTGTAAACTGGCACTCAAAGTAAATTAACGTCAACACCTTGTTTCATTCATGAATAAATCAGCATTTTTAAGTGTATCCCTTGAATGAATGTTTTTTTAATGATGACTCACTCGTAAAGTCAATCCATTGCCGCCATCTGCTGGTGTAATAATGCCTGACAGCCCAGCGCTGATACTGAAACATCACTATATAGTCACTATACAGTCAGTGGCATAAAATGGTCATAAAATGACAATAATATTGCTTCTCGCAATTATTTCTAGGGCAATATATCACTAAATTAAAAAAAATAGTTAACAAGACCAGCCTATGGACAGGTGGCTTGATAGGCCATCTATCAGTGGACCTGACACCAGAAGAGCTAAGAAAAATGGACAACACAAAAACACGTCAATATCAATGGGGGGCGGGGATCCATGTGGTTGGTTTGAGATATTATGGGGGTCCAGTACTCAAAAAACGTTGAGAACCACTGCTCTAGACCACGTCCTCATACTGAAGTCCCTCTGAAGACGCTTTGAAGCTAGTCTGCATTTCAGCTGGAATGATGGCTTTCACATGCTAAGATCTAAACCAGCACAATAACCTAACATCTTACTGCATATTATCAGAGATCCGCAATAAATGAGCTTCAAAAATACAACACACAGACCTGAACTTTCCTTCTTCCTTTCACAAGCTCTTTCTAACATAGGAATAGGCTACTTCTAAAGCAGGCAATTGCAAAATAGTGTTTTGAAAATCTGTTTTTTTTGTACATTTTTCAAAAAATGATCTATGATATTTGTGTTGACGTGTTGCATCACCTGGAGGGGTGGTGAGGGTCCTGCCGTTCTCTTGACTCCAGCCAACCGGATGGATATAAGGACTCGTTGCATCACACCTGCGGAAAAGAAGAAATACACAAATGCAATTTAATGCAACTGGCAAAATAATCTATTTCATGCATTTCATGCAATGTTTCAAAAACCCTGAATCCATTTCCCCCTTAAAATTGAGCTCTTTTATAAATTCTTATCTTGTTTGGGACAGACAATGCATGCATTAAAATACAATGAAATACACACAAATTAACACGGCTTTGCAATCCATCTGCGCTAGTCAGTGACAATCCAAAAAATGGTGCACACATCTGACAGACACAGACAGAAGGAAAAAACTATTCTGATAAATCAGAACCAAATAATCATGTGCAGGTAAGACACAAACAAACTCTCATCAACTTTTAAAAGAGAAGCGAAATTGATCTTTCGTCGTTTGACCGTCTACGTTAATTGTACGCATCATAATTACTTATTTTCCTGTGGTTTATTGTCTCCCAAAAGCATGAAAGCATCAAAATTCAACCAAACGCTCAAAAATTTTGTGTTTCGTTATGTTTCCGCAGGCAATGTTAATACATTTCAATATTGGATTTTAAGGACATTTTGATTGTTTTAGTAGGATAAACATTTGTGGAGCGGTGTTGGGTCTCTACTCGGTCCTGAAGCAAAACTAGTTGAGAATGAGTGATCTAACAATCATTTCAGCAGTGCTGGAGTAAAGCTGACCAGCCCCAGATTGCTCGTAACCCACAACATCTGATGCGTTTCTGATGATAAGATGGCTAAAACAGAATTATGTACTGAAACAGGCACCAATTCTCCTGAACTCATGAAATAATTTGTTTGATTAAAGTGAAACAAATGTGGTGATGAGATGTTCAGGAGGCGCTGTGGCTCAATGCACAGAGATGTCAGATGTGATTGTGTGATCTGAGCTGAAGACACTGTGTGTGTGTGTGTGTGTGTGTGTGTGTGTGTGTGCGCGTGTGTGTGTGAGTGTGTGAGAGTGTGTGTGAGTGTGTGTGTGAGAGAGTGTGTGTGTGTGTGTGAGAGAGTGTGTGTGTGTGTGTGAGAGAGTGTGTGTGTGTGTGTGAGAGAGTGTGTGTGTGTGTGTGAGAGAGTGTGTGTGTGTGTGTGAGAGAGTGTGTGTGTGTGTGTGAGAGAGTGTGTGTGTGTGTGTGAGTACTCATCCTTCTCCTCCTGAGTAATTGATGAGCAGTTAAAAGCATTCTGCCTGCTCTCCACACACACACATGACACACACTCGTGATGAGCACAGAATGATAACTGGGTTACTCATAAGAATGAGAATATGCCACATTTGTGTCTTCATGACTTATTACGACTGATATAATTAACAAGATACTCAACTTAGTCATTTGATAGATTTAAGCCTGTTCAGTTTCATCAATTTCATCAGCATTTCAGCCAATTTGTATGAGCAGGAGTTACACAGAATTAAAAAAAAATCTAACTCTACCCAAATGATGATAGGTGTCGTATACCTGATAGGTTGATGGGGATCAGCTGAGAGTCAGCTGATACGAGCTTGACTAACGTGACCTGCCAGAACTAACGCTACGCTAGATGTTCACACTCATATTGGTTCCAAAGTGATAACTCTATTATTAGTTTTTTTTTAAAACAAGAAGTAATAAATATTACAAGTATTTAAATATAGTCATACTTGGGGTTTTAACATTTTGGAAAGTGTCAGGTTTGGCACAAAAGATGAATAATGTTTCGGGTTATTAATATGTTTATAACTATGTGTGTTCGTGGTGAAATTAAGAGAATAGCTCAAACTGAGTGATACTACCAGAATTTCAATTACAGAGTAAGAATTAGACTTATTGAGTAAAACAAAAATCACTTTTAGTACTTTGCTGTAACGACACATACTGGTTTAGGAGTAATGCTTCAACAATCAGCCTTAAGCGACATCTATGTGGTCATGTAAATGCATAAGCAATTACCATCTTACAAGTTTTTGTATTGATAGAAATCTATAGAAAGTCTTAAAATATGATCCTTTCCAAAGATAAAAAATATTGTTCCGTTTCAGGGAAAGGCAGAGCAGGATCAAAGCATAAAGACAGGAATTCAAAGATGTGAATTTACCAGTAGTCATAACTTTCATCCCAGTCGTCAAAGTGCACCAGGAATCGACTCTCCACCATGTCTGTAATCGTGGCGACGCAGATGAACGAGGGATTCTTCTTATCGATGGCTTCCAGCTTCATACCAACCCTAAAACCTGATGGCGTCACGGTCTGAAAAACACAGCTTATCCATTCAATTTTAATAACTTGCAACCTACATTATTGTATTAAACAATGATATCTTAGCATTTCATGATGCAATAAAATCCTGATGCTAAAATCAAGTCAAGTTTTAACTAAATATTCCGTTTCACTTGTATCTATGTCCTGTTACTGTTAAATAATATATGTGACCCTGCAGCACAAAAGCAGTGTT